GTGTGGCTCTTGTAAAGGCATTCTTGTGTTGGGGACGTGTCCGAGATGGTGGATTGAGGGCACTTATAGTCCTTTGCAGGATTGGTTCCTCATTTTACATCACAAAGCTGTCAGCAGAAGAGTATAGGTTTGCTTTAAAATGGTGGGTTAATGATTTTTGAGAAACAAGGTTACATCATTGCATCGTGATGAGGGGGCCTGCAGGACTAAAAGATTTTTTAAATACTTTAATAGCAGGGGTCATATTATTTTGCTACTAAGAGATGCAGTTATGTTTTAATTGGCTAATGTTTACAGTGTGGTTTTGCTTAAAAACACATTTTTTTCAAGATTCTCTCAATCATTGCTTATCTCACATCCACAAATATCCATGCTTCCTGTGTATAGTATGTACATTTGCTCTATTTCAAACATACTCACACTGAAAATTTATTTCACATGGGACATCAAGAAAACAAAGTCACATTAGTCTGTTTTTTCCCTCTCAGTTAAAGTTTCATTAAAATAAGTTCATAGTGAGTTCAGCTCTCTAGTCCTACCTTTCAATGTAAAACTGATATTCTTATTTATTAGAAAGTTGGTGCTTGGACATTACTGAGAACTAATACATTTCATGTAGTTGTAAATCTTTTTGAGTATTTTGAATATTGGGAAACTGCCTAACAATTCTAAGAAAACCTTTGCAAAGTAGGACCAGACAGCAAATGTGAAAAATCGGGACAGGGGTGGGGGGGTAATAGGCGCCTATATAAGAAAAAGACCCCAAAATCGGGACTGTCCCTATAAAATTGGGACATCTGGTCACCCTATTGCTGTGACCATACAAATTACAGAGAGCTTTAAAATATATAAAAACTATTATCCATTGTGTTTTGGTTAGCAATGTAATAACATTACAGGGAAGTTACAATCTATGGCCCTGGATATCGAGCCTCCAGTGAAGCCTGTGTAGGGGCAGAGTAGTTTGCATTTATACGGAACACCATATATTTCAACAGGAAAAGGGCCTAAGACTTTCAGTGGATCATTTGTGCATATTGTTTTAATATGTTTGTACATTTCTAGAATCAAAACTATTAATTAGAGTCCATACAGTTTTAGTTAGTATAAAAGGTTCCTGGCCCACCTTCCTGACATGGGTAGAAACATACTACATTGTATCCTTTTTTTAAAAAAAAGTTATTTTATTTATTGTGCTGCACAGTTTTGGGGAGGAGCAGGAATAGTTAGGGCCAGACCTTGCTTGGCATATAATGCAGGTAGTCCCAGTGACCTCGGGCGGGACTGCTCATATGAGCCACATTTTACCCTTAAAACAGAATGAACTGATTAAAAAATAAGAAAATTATATATAAATAATTCACATTTTAAATTAGGATTAAACAAATGCTGAGAGTTTTGTAAATTATTTTTGCACTGTAATATTGATTGGGCAACGCCCAAGTTTGCAACTGAAAAAGAATTTCTTCAGCAATACAAATAAGAAATAAGTTGGTCTGAAAACTTGTGCTTGTATGAGACTTTGATTAGCCTTTATCAATATATTGTATAGACACTTTTTGATTTTTTTTTACATTATCAAATTAAATTATCTATTCAGACAGGAATTTGGAACAAATATGCTGTAATAATTGTTCATAACCGGAAAGAATCTGTGGAGAAAAACTGACCTGTGTGTGGTCACTGCTCCATAAATTCTTACAGCATTGTATTCAGTTTCAATATCTAGTTTACTTTTTCTAATGAAGTGGGTGACTATTTCTAGAATATAGTAAAGGTGGTGGGCAATAGAAATTTTCCAGATTTAGGGCCAAGCCCTCAACGCAATTCCCACCAAGTAGCATGGGATGGTGGAGGGAGAAGAAAGAAGGGAGGAGAGGGGAAGCATACATCCACAGAGCACCTGCTACAGAGCCTACTTTAGTTCTATAGGAGTTGTATGGTTAACGATTCAAAAATCTGCAACTAGCTTTTCATACCTGTCTGTGACGTGGTTGGAAAACACGTAGAAATATTGATCAGTTGCAAAATCTTGTGTGACTCTCAACTGTTGAAAGCTTTCCTTTTGGCCATCACCAGTATGTCATACACAATCACATTGTGCAGGCTGTAGGATGATGCCGTAAAGGGAAGATATCATTTGCTCCCTGCATTTGCACAGGGAGTGAAGGCATAAGGCTCCCTCTTTCTCCCATGTGTAGGTTGCTTCCATTACGAGTCATGCACAGCAGGGAGAGCAATCTCCATATGACCACTAATCCCTACTCTGTGTGTGTAGGCAGGAGAGAGTATGCGGTGGCATGCAATGGGTAAAACCTTGTGTCTACCCCCTCAAAGTACTGGCTGGCACACTTGAACTGGTATGGAGGTAGAAAGAAATCTGCACCTGATAATGGATTATTTTCTTCTGGAGCAAGGGGGAAACCAAGGAACAAATTTTTACTTTCTTTGTTGGTTTGCCCGAAGGCCAGTACAGCCTTTCTATTGTAATATTACCATTTAGTTCTTCGTTATGTGTACATAAGAAAATAAAGTCCCCACTTCTTCA